ACAGACCTTGCATTAGGTCGGGCATGTCCTCCTACAGGCGGACCTTGGAGGAAAAACAAAAACAAATCAAACATCAGACATAGCAAACAAAATGATAGAACACTCGTCCCCACACTTTCGGTGTGGGACTATGTTTGAACACTCCTCCTGTAGAGGGACACGCCCGACTTAAACCTTGCACTGACTGAGACAGGGATATGGAGTCCCGAAACGGTGCGGTGACAAACCGTGCGGTGACCTCGAACTCCCCCAAGACCTCACCGCACGGTCCGTCACCGCACGGTTGTGGGACCTCGGAGGCCCCAGTCGCCCGAGACGTCCTCGGAGAACGACCCCAGTCCCAGAACCGTGCGGTGACTCCGAATCCCCGCCGACTCACCGCACGGCGTGGTCGCCACACCGTTTGGGGGCCCCCGAAGGGATATGCCGCCGCTCTGTCCAGCAGCTTGCCATCGCCGGCGGCAGCGCACCGACACGTGGCCCGGCGGCCGCTCCCGGGCGCTGGGCGCCGGCAGGATCGGCAGAGATGGGCACGGGGCACCTCGCGGCGCTGTGCGCAGCCTCTGGCAGTACCGGGGCAGCAGGCGCTGCAGAGCAAGACTTTATAAAGGGGCCCCAGGACACACAAATGAATACACACAAATAAAACTACTCCCCATACTTTCCCAGATCTTCTGGGTTTTCGTCTTCCCCCCCATTTCCCATAACTTCGCACATTTTCGGGGGAATCGGCGATTCATTGTGTCTGTGAGTTTTTGTCCCCTCCTGAGGCTTGCACCACCGCAGGGTCGAGCAGATCCTCGCTGAAGCCCGCGTGCTCCGGCTGGGGCCCCGCCCGAGGGGCGGTGCGGCACGAGCGCCAGCAGTGGCCACGGGAACACCGGCGGTATCCACGGCGTGCGGGCCCGCGCGCAGCAGAGCACAGAGCGGCAGTGGCTCCGCGCCCCGGACGCCGCAGCCGAAGCCGGAGCACGGGTGGGTGTATGAGATCCAGCAGGCGGCCGTACCACAAGCCAGCACGTGCCGTGCTGGACAAGACATGCGAGTTGCGAAGGAGGCTGGAGAGAAGAGGAGGACAGGGAGGAGCCGGGGCGACGAGGAGGATCGGGGGGCCGTGAGGGGCCAGTCACAGCAGGAGGGGCAGGAGCGGGAGCACGGGGATGTGGGAGGAGGGAGGAGGTCTCACGCCGCGTCGTGCGCTCCCCATTTTTTTTTTTCTTTTTGCTTGCCCCCCCCCTCTCGTTGCCCCCCCCCTCTGGTTGCCCCCAGTGGTGGTGCAGGCGGTGCGGGACACCGATTGGTGCTGCGATTCCGGGGCCGCCGGGGCGCGTGCGCAGCAGGCGGCCAGAAGCGGTGGGCGCGCATGGTGGCGCGCAGGCTGCGGCGCCACTTCCCGGAACGAAGCGGAGCAAGAATGAGGTGAGGTGGGAGGCGAGGTGGGGGAGGAGAGGGGAGATGACCAGCTAGGTGAGCTTGCGCCAGATGCCATGTCTGACATTCGACCCCACCCGTTCATCCCTTGCCGTTGCGCTACGTTGTTTTTTTCCTGTGCGCGGATACATGTCATAGCGGACCTGGAGCTCCCAGCGGACGCGCCTCATAGCGGGCCTGGGACTCCCCCAACTATCCCATCGTGTCATGCGCAACCGAGAAACGGGAGCTGTGCAAATAGGAGGAAGGGGAGAGGGTGCGGGGTGGGGAAGGACGCGAGGGAGGTTGTCGGCGCTGAAATGCCTGCAGCCAACGACCCGCTCGGTGTGGATCGCGGGGACCAGCACCGGGTTCTCGATGGTGCCAAAGGGGCCGATGAAGGGCGAGGACCTCGAACGGGGAGGGAGAGGCGAGGAGTGATCCCTCTCAAGGAAGCGGAGGACTGGGTCGGACTGGGCTCGTGTCGCTCTGGCGCCACCTCGATCCTCGACGTCACGGATGCGGAGCGGCCAATCGGAGGAAGAGGAGGTAAGGCAGAGGTGGAGGAACGAGTTCTCTGTTGTCCGCAACGCGAGCTTCTTTCTCGATGCTCCATGGTTCGGGGATGGACAGAGCCCCCTTTTCGTAAACCGTGGTCTGGTGAGAGCGACCTCGGGCCCACATCATGGCGGGCGCAAAGCCTGGAAAAGGACGGCCGCGGCGCCCTCTCGAGAATCGAAGGCGGACAATTCGCGAATCGACGCGTCACTGTTGGGGGTTCTGTCCAACCCCGGATGGTCCGTCAGGCCGTGCCCACGCACGGAACGGGGGAGGAGGTCGGAGGCGGCAGCAGGAGGAGGAGGGGGGGCAGGGGCGCTGGGCGACGGTCCCCCGGCGGCCCGGGCGGCCATGCACAGAATGCAGGACCGCGCACGACGACTGCACAGGGGGCGAGGAGCCAGGAGGGGAGAGCGCGGGAGGTGGAGGAGCGAGGACAGGAAGAAGAGGAGGAGGGGGAGGGAGATGGAGGGAAGGACCACGCTGGAAGGGCAGGGCCTCGAGGATCTCAGACAGCGTTGAGGGCGTTCTGGGGTGTGACAGGGGGGCTGCATAGGGACCTGCATTTTTTTACGCAGAAAGAGCCTGCATCTTCGCTCGCTCTGCCAGTTCTCCATGCGGTGGCGCATCGAAGAAATGCAGTGGCCCCGGATTCGGGTTTAAACAACCGGTGCGATTGACAATCGCTTTTGTCAACCACGCTGCTCAACTCCACTTCCCCTCATGGGGGCTATCATCACCCCCTCGGCGCGCACGGCCGCGGGCACGTACCACCCTGAAGCGGGACCTATCATGATTATTATTGATATTAGCATTATTATTATTATCATTGTACTGTAGAATTAATACGAATAGTATTATGACGAGTAGTATTGTTATTATTATTCTTATTCCTCCTCCTCCTCCTCTCCTTCCTCCACCTCTACTTTCTCCTCCTGAGGCCTCTGCCGCTCCCTCCTCCTCCTCCTCCTCCTCCTCCTTCCCCTCGCACTCCCTCCCCCCTCCCCTGAAATCAAGGCGTCGCGAAAAGCACGATTGCTTCTAACTATATGTCGGACAATGGGCCACTCGGGTTCGTTCTAGCCACAGGACGTCCCGCGCAGATCCAGGTCGAGAGCCCCGGTCGTGTCACCTGTTCACGCAGTCGCGTCTGTAGACGCCACAGAGGGGCCAGCAATGGGAGGGCTAGAGCCTCAAAGTCTCCCAGGGTTCCACGGACCGTCCAGGCGTGGTTCTGAAGCCAGAACAGGGGAGCCGAAACCAGCACCAGCATCGCAAGGAATGTTCGATCCCAAACTCGTCTGGCGGCATACGGTCCAATCGCCTCGAAACAGAGGACTGCACCGGACGATTCGTATCGGATGTCAATACTGCATTCGGACGCTAGCCTCCTCGCAAAGCTCTCCGACCCCTGGCCAGGGCGCGGACCACACAATCTGCCAGCGGACGGTTTTTGAGACCAGGAGGCATCATCGAACACCGCCTCAGACTCACTGGGTGGTGTGGTGAACGAACCGTTTTGAACCTCCCTTTGGAGCAGCGGACGGTCGTCGTGGTGGTATGGTGTCGATGCGTTTCGGCGTCCCGCCCCAGACATCTCCAAACTCCGCTCGTGAAGACATCGTGGACCTCCTCGCCAGCGGTCGCCCTGCCAGTGACGCCGGTGTTGCACATCCTCCCTCTGAGAATAGTTCTCGACTGCAGCGCCTTCGCCGAAGAAGACAGCAGCGTCAGCGACACACAGAGGCGGAGGAGGACGGCGAGGCGGTGGGGACCCAGTGTGAGGAGCAGGGAGGAGGGCCGGAAGAGGGAGCAGCGAACACATGGAGAGCCGCGCCGTGTCCGGACGCAGGGGCCAGCAGAGCCGTTCCACAACTCGCAGAGTGACTGCTCGCGTATGGCCTGGATCCGCCGCGGGAGGTTTACAATCCATGGCATCGAGGCACATGTGTGTTTCGGACGTTTGCGAGTAGGCACTTTGTGAGTAGTGGAACGCGCTCGGTAAAGAGCACCGGGGAAGAGATCAGCATCACAGTCAATCATATAACACGGATGGAATGGCACCGGGGAAGAGATCAGCGTTCCTAAGGCCTCAGAGGTAGCTGTGTAGCTAATTTTGATTTCTTGACAGATATTGGAAATATGTGACGCGCCGGGCAAGATCTGGGCATCAGGACACGTAGCTGGGACATCGCTCGCGACCCTGCGTGGCCAAATCTGCTGGACCCCAGGGTGACCCGCGCAATTCGACGTGACGCTCGGAAGGGATGGATTTTAGCTGCGTCCTTGGCGCCATGGTGCCGCACTTTGTCGATCGCCCATGACCGAACCGCGAAGATTTGGTCTTGGGAAATGCCTTGGGGCCTGTCTACAAAACGAGCTGAGTCCGTCCGACGCTGGGAAGGCTCGTCGTGGCAATCAGCTGGCCGAAGCTACTATCGGACTGTTCGCTCTCTTTCATCAGCAGAAGACGCCAGCGGTTCTCGAGCATCCCCGCACATTGCGCTTGCGGCTGACTCGGGAGATTTAGTCTTTCGCCAATGTACCCCCAGTCAGCCTCGTAAATACTGACCAATGCCAATTCAGAACGCAGTGCAAGAAACCAGCTCGCTTAACGTTTTGCCACGTGGAGGTCGGCGACCCAAAACATATGTGTAGAAGAAGCAATAGTCGAAACAGAGTATGCTCCCCCCTCTCCCGGAACGCACTCATCTTCAACTTGAGGGTAGCGCGCGTACTCGACACTCAGGGCGGAGTGAGAGTAGTGCATTTGAGTTGACTTCTGGCCTAGACTGTTCGAGGCGTTCGTCAGATCATGTCCCTGCAATATGAAAAAAGACGTGGCTCTGTATGTTCTTGAACGGTTCGCGCTTCAGTGTTTTGAGCACTGTGATGCCTCCAAATATACCGCCTACCAAATGGCCCAAGGGCTTCAACATCGGACCATTTCTCACCCTTCTCGTTCTTTCCCTCCCTCCCTCGCCTGCCTTCGGCTCGCACCCTCCCACACCGAGGGCGAGCGAGAGCAACGCATGCACTTTAACCACCGGCCTGGACAGTTCGAGGTCTGCGTCACGCCGAGTCCTGGCAATGTTGTGAGAAAGGCGTGGCTCACCAGATTGCAACACACCAGTGTGAGCAATCATGTTTTTGAAATCCTGCGCCAAACAAACGCGCAGATGGCCGACCATTTTCCTGACAGAACTAAGGGAAAGAAGACAGTAGTACTACTCACGACGTGCAACTAATTGTAGGGGAAAGAGGAGGTTGAAGGGGAGTCGGAGGGATAGGGGGGGGGACAGAGATGAGAATAGAGGAGGAGGAGGAGGAGGAGGAGGAGGAGGAGGAGGAGGAGGAGGAGAACGAGTAGGAGGAGGCGGAGGAGGAGGCGAGAGTCCACTCCCTCCCGGGATGACTTCAGGTACTCGTACAGCTCGATGATGCCCAGCACGGTGCTCGCCTCCGCAGGCGAGGGGGCAGGGATCCCGCAGACGAAGGGTATGTACGTGACGCGCGAGTCCCCTGGCCTCCTCCGGTACAACAGCGGAGGAGCGAGCGAGCGAGGCGCTGGCCCCAGTGGACACCCTAACAATCCGATCATTGAATTAAACATGTGTTTCGTATGTCGAGGACACGTTTAAAGCATGTTTAAAACAAGTTTTACATGTTTTATACATGATCAACTCGTGTTGTAGACATCTGGGAATTATTTGGCAACGTGTTTCCTCTCCGTGGGTCGTAGTCCACAAGTACGGTGGCTCCAATGCGCTAGAACGCCGCCCCCGCTTCGGCACCTCATCGCCAGGCGCTGTTACTCTGCCCAGCCGCCGACGCAGAACAAAACTGCCTGGGCGAGGCGCGTGAGGCCGTATCGGTTCAGCTGCGGTGGGATTCGGCGCATACGAAGATCAGAACGACTAGACACCCACGAGTAAAAAGTTCGTCTTCGCTGTCGCCCGATCAGGGGGGGAGGGGGCGGCAAATGCCCAGATCCCGAGGCTGCCCTGAGCGCACGGGAAAAAAGATAGGGGAAGTGCGAATTGCAAGGTATATGGGTGGTGCCTGGATCAACTGCCGTGCTGCAACAAAGACGAACAACTTCATCTTGCCAGCAGAAACGGGCGAGAAGGATGACGCTAGACGCTAGACTTGTGGATGCCACGTCAATGGACATCCCAACAGTCCGATCATTGAACTTAAGATGTGTTTAAGGTGTCGAACAAGTGTTCGAAACATGTTTCACACATGCTTTTACATGTTTACAACATGTTTGACACAGGTTTCAAACATGTGGGAATTCTTTGGCAACACGCCTCCTCTCCATCTGATCGTCCTCCACAACGCTAGACAAGCTCGATCGCTCCTGCAGCCGAGGCGCACGCGGCGGAGCCGAAGCCTGCTGCGGCGGAACTTACTGCCACGAAGCACCGGCTCAAAGCGGTCGGGACGGCGGCCCGCGTTGCAGAGCCGCACGTCTTCGAGGCGTCGCAGCGGAGCCGATGCAACTCGTTAGCACGTGGAGGGCCTCCTGCTTCCTCTCGCCAGCCTCGTCGTTCTCCTGCCCCATCTCCTCCATGGGCTTTCCTCCGCCCTCCTTCGTGTGGATCCTCTACTCCGTCGCTCCTCCTCCTCCTCATCATCATCGGCATCATCAGCATCAACTGCAACATAGGTGTAGCAGTCCTCCTCCTCGTCCCACTATCCTCCTCATCCTCCTTCTCCCGCTGCTCATCCTCCTGATCCTCCGCCCTCCTCGTGAGGCTTCCATTCTTCCACCAACCTCGTTCACACTTCTTGCATCTCCTCTTCGTTCTCATCACGCCTCCCGCCTCCCTGCCCTGTCACTTCGTGGTTCTCGGCGCCATCTCCCCCTCAAACGGCTCCAACGGGGGAGGGGGGGCAATCACGGTGACTGGAGGCGGGACTGCCGGAGGGCAGCTGGACCTGGTAGGTCTGGCCACGCTCTGTCCGCTTTCTCGGCTGGCCATGGAGAAGGATGTGGAGAATGAGGAAAAGAGCAAGGAGAAAGAGAAGCGCTTGATGAGGTTTGACCAAGCTTTGAAGGTTTCAGAGGATTCAAATGGTTTCCAGGGGATCTTGAGAGAGATGGGGGGAATGTGGAGCAACAGAAGGAGAAACAGAGGAGAAGGAGGAAGAGGCGCAGCAGCAGCACGAGACGGATGAAAAGGGAATAGGTCCAGGCTGTTTGATTGAGCCAAGGCCACCTGGTCGATCACGGCGCACGGACGCAGGCAGGCTGCCTCGATCCGAACGGGCCCGCGCTTGCACGCGGGGTCAAAGCAACACGCATGCCCAGCAGATCGACCTCCAGTTGGAAGCTCGTGCCGGCCAAGTCTTCCACGAAAGCCATTGCCAGAATCTCACAGGGCTTCACAATTTGCCGGATGTGTGGAAGTTGGTGGAAGTTTGAGACTTTGTTGAAGTTCGCATGCTACTGACAATCACCAGGTAATCGAAAGCTAGAGGAAACATCGACCGGCGCTGATGGCTCAAGAGGAGTACGGGAGCGGGGGAGGAGGAGGAGGGAGGGAGGGAGGGAGGGAGGGAGGAGGAGGAGGAGGAGGAGGAGAACAGAAGAAGAAGACGAGGGAGGAGCAGGGCGAGGAAGGAAGAGGAGAGGAGAAGGAGGTGGAGAGGGAAGAGGAGCAGCCGCCAGAGGGGGGAGTCGGGGATGAACAGACCCCCCTTTAGTAAAACGTGGTTTAGTGAAAACGACCTGAGGCCCAAACCTGGCGGGCGCAAGCCTGGAAAATAACGGCCACGGCGCCCTCTCGAGAACCGAAAACAGACACTTCACCAATCGACGTGTCACTGTTGGGGGTTCTGTCCAACCCCGAGGGAGGAGGAGGGTTAGGAGGAAGGATCGGGAGGATGAGAGGTGGAGGTCGCTGTGGTCCAGCCGAGGCAATGCTGGGAGAAAGAGGGAGGAGGGGAGGAGGGGGGGGGATGAGGAGCAGGCGGACGAGGACGACGACAGCTGGGCACTGGGGCCAGAAACCGGCCGCACGGCCTTGCTGTTGACCACGGTCAGGCCCATGTCGCGGCAAAGCTGCTTGTAGCTCTTCTTTGGGAGGTTCTCTGGGTCCATGATGGTGCTCTCGGCGCGGATACGCCAATACCTGAGGAAGCGACTCAACAGATGCGACTCCTGTATGTTCGGTAGTGGCCAACGAAAGGGTTCTGTGTTTGGTGCTCATGGGTCTCTCTGGGCCCTTTGAGGGGGCTCTGGAGGCCGTGGGGGCCTCAGAGGAAATCCTTAGGGCACATTGGGAATGGGACACACTTGGCAACATCGAATGCTTGTGATCTCATGCCGGTCACACCCGAAAGCAACGCAGGAACATCGACCCAAACACTGGCTGCGAGTTTACAGCACGTTTGCCTAGGCGGCCGTGCCGAGAGACAGGGCCTTGAGCGCAAGGCGCAGCCGAGGTGAAGCGGAGATCGTGCTGCGGGGACGGGAGGGGAAGGGAGGGAGCAGGACAGAAGACGGAGGGAGAGTGGAGGAAGGCAAAGAGGGAGGCAAGGGGGGAGATGCAAAAGTGGAGACCCATCCCCCCTTCCAGGGGAAGCCCTGGGGACGCCACCGCCCGCAGAGTCGTGAAGACGCGATCCGACTCTGCGGGGCCTCCGCGCGGCGACCACGAGCTCAGACCACCGTCGGAGACGGCGCCGTGGCGTCGCCAGGGCGAGTGTTCGGAGCCGGCCGGCACCAGTAATTGTCGACGAAGCCGAGCTCGTACGGGTTGCTCGACATCAGACTCTTCACGTCCTTGGGCATGGACTCGGTGTTCAGCTCGAAGTCCTGTCAAGAGGGGGGGCTCATCCTTGCAGGCGGAAGTGCCGCTGAGTGCCCCAGAGAGGGTCACACTCGCTGCTGTGGCAACCCACCGCGGGCCTTTCCCATATTGCGCACGGTTGCTGGCGGCACGGCAGCCAGCATCGTGCTCAAGGTTTGTCTTTGCGACGTCACGGTGCCGAGTCGTCACAGTGACCCCGTTTGCTGCACAACCGCACGATACCCTTCTTGCGCGCTTGCTGGGGCTCCCTGGATTTTGCGGGTCGTTGTCTGAGCAATGCCGAAAATCTCAGGGACACGGCCCAAAGGCGCGATTGCTCTGGACATGCATGTGGAAACGCGGAACAAGAACCCTGCTCGACTGTTTTGCTGTGCAGATCCTGCCAGGCAGCCAGGCACAAGCAGAACATCCAGGGCAATCGTGAGGGCACCTCTGTGCAACATTCCTGGCCCTTTGGGGGGCGATGGGGTGCCGCAGGTGGGGCCCTCCTGCCCAACCCATGTTCCTGCTGAGGCTGCCGGGGGCCCGTGGCAGCCCCCCACGGACTGCGCTTCACTGCGCTGCGAAAGCCTCCCGACGTTCACCCCGGACGTCCATGAGCTTCCTCGCAGTCGCCACGCCGCCGTCTCACCGCTGCCACACCTCAGCGGGCACACCCCGCTGACCGGTCGCCCGGTGTCGGGAGCGGCCAAGAGGAGGGTGTCCAAGAGGGGGGGGGGGTGCAAATCATGGCCGGCGGCATGTGCGCGGCCCAGAGGGGGGGGGGGCCAGGGACGCAATGAGATAGGAAGAGGCGCCATGAAATCTGGGGAAGTATCGTGGCCCACGCCATGATCTCCCCTCCCCTAGTCATCACCCCCCTCTTTGCCGCCCCCGATGGTGGGCTTCCCCACGCTTCGCCATCTCGCGGCTGCGGTGTGGCCGACGGCCTGTGCCGTCGGCTCCCGGCGTTGAGCTCTGCTTGCTCAGACCGCCTGCGCTTCTCCAAGGCTGGCCCCATGGTCCCGAATGCCAGCGCGCGGACGTCCGACGGAAGAGAGGGAGAGCGTTGGGGCAACTGCAACACGCCCTGGAGGGCCAGCGGCTGCTCTCTACAGCGCCCCCCCCACACACACACACACCAGTGCCGAGACAAGTGATGGTGATTGGAAGGAAAGACATGGACGCAGCGAGAATGAGAGAGAGAGAGAGACAGAGAGACAGATAGCGCGATTATATATATATATATATATATATATATACTAGAACCACGCGCGCGCTTCGCGCGCGCTTAGGTTCTAGCGGCGAGCTTGAGTCAACGAAAGTCGCAGGGAAGGGGGCAGGGGGAAGAAGGCCAGATAGCGCTGAAGGATACAAATACTGGAACCCTCTTGTGATTTTGTGGGGGGCCTCGTCCGGCCGCTCGCTGGGAGTTTGACGTAGCTTCTCGGGAGCCTCTGAACCTGTCGGGGGCCTCCTGGAAGCAGGTTCGAAGCATTTTGGGGGCCGATTTGGGGCTTCTCGGGGCCTCCTTTGGGCCTCTTGGGGGTCTCCTGGGGCCTCTTGAGGGGCCTCCTTGGGGCCTCCTGGCGGCCTCTTGGGGCGGAAGGCTCGAGCTTGCGGTTCGTGGTCCCCCTCTGGGCCCCCTCTTGGGCCCGTCTTGGGGCCCTCTTGGGCCATCTTGGGCGCCTCTTGGGCCGTCTTGGGGCCCTCTTGGGCTGTCCTGGGGCCCTCTTGGAAGCTTCTTGGGCCGTCTTGGGGCGGTCTTGGAGGCCTCTTGGGCCGTCTTGGACGCGGTGAAAGCCCAAGATGCGAACATGCGAAAAATATACGTTTTCCCATAGGAATGGCACGATTTTTGTTTTTTGGACCTCTCTTGGGGTGCCTCTCGGAACGTCTTGGGCTGATTTTGGAAGCCTTTTGGCGCCTCTGGGCGGCGTTTTGGCGCCTCCTGGGATATGTTGGGCCGGAAGCTCGGAATTCGAGAGTGGCTTTCTCCTTCTGGGACCCCTCTCGAAGTCGTCTTGGGGTTCTCTTGGGCCGTCTTGGGGCCGTCCTGAGCCACTCGTGCGCAGCCTTGGAGCGCTCCCGGAGGCCTCCTAGGCCGTCTTGGAGGCCTCTTGGGCCGTCTTGGACGCGGTGAAAGCCCAAGATGCGAACATGCGAGAAATATACGTTTTCCCATAGGAATGGCACGATTTTTGTTTCTTGGACCTCTTTTGGGGTGCCTCTCGGAACGTCTTGGGGCCTCCTGGCGGCCTCTTGGGGCGGAAGGCTCGAGCTTGCGGTTCGTGGTCCCCCTCTGGGCCCCCTCTTGGGCCCGTCTTGGGGCCCTCTTGGGCCATCTTGGGCGCCTCTTGGGCCGTCTTGGGGCCCTCTTGGGCTGTCCTGGGGCCCTCTTGGAAGCTTCTTGGGCCGTCTTGGGGCGGTCTTGGGCGCCTCTTGGGCCGTCTTGGACGCGGCGAAAGCCCAAGAGGCGAACATGCGAAAAATATACGTTTTCCCATAGGAATGACACGATTTTTGCTTCTTGGGCCTCTCTTGGGCTGCCTCTCGGAGCGTCTTGGAGGCTTCTGGGACCTTCTTGGTGTCATGACAGGCGTCTTGGAAGGCATCTGGAGCCATCGGAGCGCGTTCCGAAGCCGCCTGCGAACGATCTTGGACGGCGTCCGGCGGTCCGACGAGCCTCTGGGCCCCCCGGAGCCCACATTTGTGGTCGAGGTCCCGGCCCCGGGCCCCCGGACCCAGTGCGCCGTTATATGTGTATATATATATATATGCATACAGGAAGGGAATGAGAGAGAGAGAGAGAGAGAGACAGAACGAGAGAGGGAAGAGACAGAGAGAGAGAGACAGAGAGAGAAAGAGAGATAGAGACAGAAACAGAGAGAGGAGTACTAATACAATGGCACATAGAAAAACAAGATGGAACCGTGGCCGAGTTTGCGGTGTTGGAGGCTTGTTAAAAGCAGGAGGGGTTGAAAATGGCGTGGCAAGAACAGACGTGGGAGAGGGAACTAATCGAGGACGCGGGAAGAAATGCAATAGCAGCCACACCTGCAGAGGAATGATGTGACGCCAGGCGGCAGACACAGCAAAAGAAGGATCGTTTTTTGAGCTTGACAGGCCAGCGCACAAGTGCTCGCGCGATGGGGCTGTATGTAACACGGTGAGACATTTTAACTTGGCAGGGCTATGGGGACGCCCAATTCAGGCCTCCCCGAGTGGAAAATCCTCAGCTCTGTCGAAGCTGCAATACATGACAAATTAAACTGAGTTCCACGACGAAGGCGAACACAACGTGATGAGACTGGTTGGGCGAGGCGACTCCAATTGCCGAAGCAGCTGGCCCTGAACCTTTTACCTACAAGCGCGCGGCAAGGCGCGCGGACGCGCTTCGAGCTCGAAGCATCGCCGACGGGCTGAAACATACCAAAGGTGGTCTACCAGCGCTCCTCCTCCTCCTCCTCCTCCTCCTCCTCCTCCTCCTCCCCATCCCCGTTCTCCGCCTCCTCCCGCTCATGCTCCTGCTCGTCATCCCTCTGCCACCCTCGGGAGTGGAACCGTGGAGACGCTGGGAGCTCGCAGTTGGAACCAGCTCTCCCTCGTCTCCCTTCCTCTCTACCGCTCGGCGCGACGAGACCTGCGCTGTCGTGGCCGCGCGCCCGGCTTGGCCGCCCGGCGCGGGCACCTACCCGCAGGCGGGCGCCCCCGTGTCCGGCCTGCGTACCCTCCCCGCGGCCAGGGGCTCTTCTCCAGCTGACGCCCGACGCTGGTGCCAGAGGCGCCTGGCCTTCCCCTCCTCCTCCTCCTCCTCCTCCTCCTCCTCCTCCTCCTCCTCCTCCTCCTCCTCCTCCTCCTCCTCCTCCTCCTCCCCCTGCTCAGCCAAAGCATCCTCCCGAAACATGGTGAAACCAGCCCTCCTGGTCCGTTCGCCGCTGTCGTTCCCGCTCCGGCTGCTGCTGCTGCTGCTGCTGCTGCTGCTGCTGCTGCTGCTGCTGCTGCTCGTCCGCCTTCCTCCCCAGGAATCCCGATGACGTCGCCTTGCTCGAGGACCAGTCCGAAACCTTCTGCCCTCGTCCAATACTCCTCCCCTCTCCCGCTCCTGGTCCTGGTCCTGTTCCTTCTCGCCACCCTCGTTCTCCTCCTCTTTCTCCTCCTCCCGGCTCGTGTTCTTGCTGCTGCTCCTTCTGTTCCTGCCTTGGCATATCATTCCACCTGTTCCTCATCCTTGTCACTGCTCCTCGGCGCGGAGCGGAGCGGAGGAGGAGAAGATGGAGGAGAAGGATGAGAAGGCGGTGGAGGAGGAGGATGAAGAGCACAAAGAGGCGGAGGAAGATGCTGAAAGCAAGACGGTGAGAACGATGCCCCAGAACCCTCTCAAGGCCACATGCTTATTTTCCTCCTCCTCCTCCCTCCTCCTCCTCCTCCTCCTCCCTCCTCCTCCTCCTCCTCCTCCTCCTCCTCCTCCTCCTCCTCCTCCTCCTCCTCCTCCTGCTCACACCCCTCTACCCTGCCTCTCTCTCTCGAGCCTTGCCCATGCCCTGGGGATTCCTCAAAATCGCCATTTGAAAAGCCCGCCCTCCTCCTCCTCCTCCTCCTCCTCCTCCTCCTCCTCCTCCTCCTCCATCTCCCCCGTGCTCCGCGCGCTCCGCCTCCCCCTCCTCCCCCTCCGTTCGTTCTCTTTCTCGTCCCAGTGTGCCTCCTCCTTCCCCTCCTCGCTCGCCTCCCCCTGCCCTTGGCGCTCCTCGTCCCTTTCTCCCTCGCCCCTGCTCGTCCTTCCCCGTGCCCCGCTCCTTCTCGCTCCTGACTGCTCCTGCTCTCCGCCCACCTCCTCCCGCTCCTCCATGTTCGCCCCGCCAGACGCCCCCTCCTCTTCAATCCCTTTTCCTTACACATAGCGACTTCCCTTTCGCACCCCCAGACCTCCCCGCAGGGCGGGCCGGGCGTCTCGCCTTCCTCACTGGTTTGCAGCGGCGCCGAGGAGGGAGGGCGGGCGGCTTCCGGAAGGTGGCTCGCTCCTGAGCGCCACGCGCATTCATCTCAAAAGTCTGCATCAGCTCCAGGGGGGTGGCTCTCGCCTTTGCACCGCGCACACTCATCTTTGAAGTCTCTGCAAAACAGCTCCAAAGATGGAGAGCGGCTCTCGTTCAAAATGTGGCTCTCGCCCTCGGGCCGCGCGCATTCGTGTTAAAGCTGTGCACCAGCGCGAAGAGTTCGTAGGGTTGCAGTCCCAGGTTCTGACACGATTTAGGAATCTCAGGGCGCAATTGGCACGTTGATTCGCAGTGTTGAAGTCCTAGGACCGATGTTCCCGCACGATGTATGATTGTCAGGGCGCAACAGTCACGTGCATTCGCGGGTTGAAGTCTCAGGAGTGGTGTTTCGGCGCGAGTGGATTCTCTCAGTGGGGAACTTCCAGCCATGAAATCTCATTCTGATCGGGACATTGGGAGAGGGAACTTGAAGGGAGGGTTTGCTCTGATTCTCCTCCCCATCATCATCAGAATCACCCGTTCCGTCACCATAACCAAGACCAGCTACAAAGACATCTACATCTAAATCATCTGAATGATCAAGGTTGTCCTCAACATCATCAACAACGTCGTCACCATCATCACCCTCATCCTTATCGTTAGCACTGCCTGTAACAGCGACAGGAGAAACGTCATCATCATCACGATGACTATCCCCCTCCTCCTCCTCCTCCTCCTCCTCCTTTCCTCCTCGTCTTCGGCCCCCGCAACCTCGCCGTCCTCCTCCTCCTCCTCCTCCTCCTCCTCCTTCTTTTCCTGCTCCTCCTCCTCCTGCTCGTCATCCGCGCGATGGCGTCAGCTGCCCGAGCGGCGCGAGTGGCGGACCCGCGAGGCAGACGTCGGCCGGTAGACGTGCATGGGCGGGCCGCTGGCCGACAGCCGCACCTCCATCGGCTCCTCGGCCTCCGGCTCGCTCTCCAGGTCCTCCAGGGGAGGGGGGGGCGCGCGGGGGCAGCATGGGGAGGGGGGGAAGGGAGCAGCATCGTCCTGCCACGTCTCCCCCCTGCTCCCGGGGAGGGGGGGGAGGGAGGGGAGAGAGGGAGAGAGGGGTGGCTGGGGAGGAGGAGGAGGAGGAGGGGGAAGCAGAAGGAGGAGGGGAAGATGAGGAGCAGGAGGGAGGGCGAGCGGGAGGGATGGAGGGAAAAAGAGATACCTGGGAATAGAGAACGGAGGAGGAGTGAGGGGACAAGGGCAGAACTTTGGGAGCCTTGGCTCTGTCTGTGGGTCCTCATCCAACTCCGGCTCGCCCTGGTGCTGGTCTTCCTGGCCATGGGGGGGGGGGGCGCTGGGTCCCGACCCTCCAGCGAGCTCCTGTGCCAGTCGCCTCCTCCCTACCCCTCCACCCTCCCTGTCCCTCCTCCCCTGCCACGTCCTCGCTCCCCCTCCCGTCCTCGCCTTGCTTCGCTCACGCACACCTCCTTTCTCCTCTCCAATCCGCCGCCCCGCCTCGCCAACCCTACTCCCTTCGCCGCTCCCCCTCCTCCCTCTCCTCCCTCTCCTACCTTCGCGGCCAACTCCACCCCATCTTTCTCCCCCACGTCCAACAAGCACGTCCGACATGTTCAAACTTGTATTGCCTGATTCGTCTTTAGTGTCCACCCTCCTGTCCATTGCTCCTCCTCTTCAGAGTCCCTCCCTCGATCCTCATCCCCTCATCCTCCTCCTCCTCCTCATCATAATCATCATCATCACCATCAGACAACTCATTCCCCTCATCCTTCCTCATTCCGGGTGGGGACTATGGATCCCCAAGACCAGGCGCAATGAGCAAGACCTCATTATCCTCCCCCCCAACCCACCCACCCGCTCACCCCCACCCCAAACACACACACAGACACACACAGACACAGACACACACACACACACACACACACACACACACACACACACACACACATCATACACACACACAACACACAACACACACACAGCACAGCACAACAGAGCACAGCACAGCACAGGAAAGCACAGCACAGCAAAGCACACAGCACACAGCACACGCACAACACACAACACACAACACACAACACACAACACAACATAACACACCACTACACAACGCAACACAACACAACATAACATAGCATAACATAACACAGCACAGCACAACACACAAGTCGTCCTCCACCAAGACCTCGAAGGAATGGGGGGCAGACAGGGGCAAGGGGAAGGAGGGGGAAAATGGGAGAGAGGGAGCGAGAGAGAGAGAGAGAGCCAAAGGAGGAATGGAGGGAGGGTGGCAAGGGAGGGAGTGAAGGAGCGAAGGCAGGCACAACAGATCAGGAATGGAGGGGAGCGAACGCATGAAAGGAACGAGCAAGGCATGGAGGGAGGAATGGGGGAGAGCTGCAGGGAAGGACGAGAGGGACGAGGGGGAGGAGAGGGGAAGAAAGCGAGAGTGGGAGCGAGAGAAAGAGAGAGAGAGAGAAAGAGAAAACAAAAAAGAGACCGAAGATGCAGAAACGGAGCAGGCGGAGCAGGAGCAGGATCCTCCTGCTGGACCGGGACCCCCCGCTCCCTCAGAGCCACCACGCGCTTCTGTCCTGGATCGCGTTCTCGGGCCGGGAGCTCGAGACGGGCCCACCGGGCGGCGGCGAGAGCCCTCGTGGCACCCAGTGGGACACGAGGAGGACAGCGACGAGGAAGGAGAGGGAGAAGGAGGAGGAGGAGGAGGAGGAGGAAGGAGGAGGAGGAGGAGGAGGAGGAGGAGGAAGGAGGAGGAGGAGGAGGAGGAGAGGGAGAAGGATGAGGAGGAGGAGGAACGACCTTGCTCCCAGCGGCGCAGGATGCCCCCCCGTACCCACCAAATTATAGCGTGCGGCAGCGGAGGGAGGGGGCTTGGGAGGAGAGACAAAGACGAACCCCAAAAGCACGACCCGTGCTAAACTTGAGTCGGGCCTGTCCCCCTACAGGGGGATTTCCGACGATAAATAAAACATAGTAAAAAAACGCCCCGAAATGTTTTAAACATACTATTAAAACATAGTGTGCTCATGTTTTGCTTATGTTTGAATAGCCCTCCTGTAGAGCGACAGGCCCGACTTGATGCTAAACTCAAGACTGACTTCGGGGGCGGGGCGGTGATGAGCATCTCCCTCAAGTGTGCGAGTGTTCCAATATTTGTGACGGGGCCCGGGGACACACAAATAAATACACACAAATAACGGGATTCCCCGTATGTTCCCATAGGTTCTGGGTTTTCTCTTCCCCCCAAATCCCATATGTTTCCATATGTTCCTTGGAGTCGACGATTACTTGTGTCTGTGTGTGTTTTTCCCCTCCTGCATTTTCTCCATGCAGCTAAAGGAGAGATGGTCCTGGCGACGCCGGGGCTGAACCCCAGGGCTCTCCCCGGGAACGGCGCCAGTCTGGACTGCTGAGGAGTCGTTTCTCGACGGCCCTATATGGCCCGGGGAGCGGCCCCGGAGACCCGAAAGCGGCCAAGCATCTCTAGGATTATGCCGGGCGTGTCCCCCTGCAGGGGGATTTTCGACGGAAAAAAAAATGCCCAAACATGCCCCACAATAACCAAAACATGCTAAACAAAAATAGTCCCCAGACTATATTTGGACTATTTCTTTTGTATGTTTGGGGGTATTTTTTATTTTTCGTCGAAAGACCACCTGTAGGGGGACAGGCCCGACTTAACTCTAGGATGTGGAGGGAGCTGCTTCAACCGACAGTCCTTGGCCCAGGGCGTCCCCAGGACTTCCTGGGAGGGCCCCCTGGCCTCCAGGGCATGCCCGCCGAGACAGACTGGCGCGCAGAGGCCTGCGGGGCGCCTTGCGCCACCGGCCGGCTCTCGGCACCGTCCTGGCGCTTCGCTCCAAGGCCCCGTCTGGGGAATCATGGCCTCGCTGCAGCCAGGGAGCAGAACACCACCCCTAGAGGAAAACAAAAACACACGCACACACACACACGCACACACGCACACACACACACATATATATATATATATATATATATATATAAACATGCACTTTCGACGGTCCGCGCGGACTTCTTGGATCTGCGCTGAACCCCCCCCTCCCTGGCGCGCGGAGCGCGCCAAGTGCGGCGCCGGAGGCGCCGCCCATGAATGAGGGCCACATCGCGGATCCCCAAAGTCCGCGCGGACCGTCGAAAGCTTATGCTCACGTCGCTCTTCCTTCTTCGGGCCCCGTCGCCGTGCTCCCTGGGTGGCCTCTGCAGTTTCCTGGGCTCTGCAGCCCTCGCGCGCCGGAGGCGCCGCCCATGAATGCGGGCCACATCGCGGATCCCCAAAGTCCGCGCGGACCGTCGAACGCTTACGTGTTTACGTCGCTTGTTCTGCTTCGGGCCCCTTCGTCGTGCTCCCGGGGTGGCCTCTTGCAGGTCCCTGGGCTCTGCAGCCCTCGCCTCCAGAATCAAGTCGGGCCTGTCCCCCCCCACAGGGGGATGTTCGATCGACGACAACTGAAAAATACCCAAACAATGCCCCCGAATGGTCAAAAAATACTCCAAAAATAGTCCCCAGGCTGTTGTTGGATTTCCCCCCCCCCCCCCCCATTTTTAGGGTCTCTTCTATCTTTCGTCGAAAAACTCCCTGTAGGGGGACAAGCCCCACTTAACTCCAGAGGAGGGCCCCCGGCCGCCCCGCCCGTCCTGGCTCGCCGGGCGCCAGGTGCGCGCCAGCTCCTCCGGCCGCTCCCGGGCGCCCTCCGCCGCGCCTGGCGGAGGCGGCGCGGCACGGGGGGGCGATGATTTCGAGGCCTCCTCCTCCTCCTCCTCCTCCTCCTCCTCCTCCTCCTCCTCCTCCTCCTCCTTCCTCGTCCTCCTCCTCGTCCTCCTCCTCCTCCTCCTCCTCCTCCTCCTCCTTCCTCGTCCTCCTCCTCGTCCTCCTCCTCCTCCCTCCTCCTCCTCCTCCTCCTCCTCCTCGTCCTCCTCCTCGTCCCTCCTCCTCCTCCTCCTCTTCGTCGTCGTCCTCCTCCTCCGGACACCCCCGCGCAGCGCCCATGGCCCCCCAGCCAGAGGGTCGTCGAGGCGATGATTTTGGGGCCTCCCGGATCGGGTCGGAGCAGATGGGGTCGGAGGATCGCGCCGCATCGCCGGATACATAGGCGATGCATCACAGGTGCGTCGCCGGTGCATCGCCGATGCATCGGCGATGCGGCGCGATCCTCCGACCCCATCTGCTCCGACCCTATCCAAGAGTAATTAGGGGACAAAGAGTGGCATAAAACATAAAAACTCGGAGGTCCGCGCGGACTTCTCGGATCGGCGCTGGACCCCCCTCCCTGGCGCGCTCCGCGCGCCAGGGGCGGCGCCGGAGGCGCCGCTGGGGGGCCCCGGCGCCGATGCGAGAAATCCGCGCGGACCTCCGAGTTTTCATGTTTATGCCACTTTTTGTCCCCCTACTCCTGGATCGGGTCGGAGCAGATGGGGTCGGAGGATCGCGCCGCATCGCCGACACATCGGCGATGCATCGGCGATGCATCGTCGACGCACCTGCGATGCATCGTGACAAAAAAGTGGCATGAAGTGACAAAAACAGTAACATTGAGGCCTCCTTAGGGGGACAAAAAGCGACAGAAACCTAAAAACTCAGAGGTCCGCGCGGACTTCTCGGATCGGCGCTGGACCCCCCTCCCTGGCGCGCTCCGCGCGCCAGGGGCGGCGCCGGAGGCGCCGCCTGGGGGCCCCGGCGCCGATCCGAGAAATCCGCGTGGACCTCCGAGTTTTCATGTTTATGCCACTTTTTGTCCCCCTACTCCTGGATCGGGTCGAAGCAGATGGGGTCGGAGGATCGCGCCGCATCGCCGATGCATCGGCGATGCATCGGCGATGCATCGTCGACGTCGGCGACGCATCGGCGGCGTCGACACGACGCAGATCGGACTCCACATCGGGCCGCACCACCGATGCATCGGGGCATGCGGCGCGGTCCTCCGACCCCATATCGGCTCCGACCCCAGCTGGGAGGCCTGGGCAAGTGGGGGGGGGAAGGTGCACGCCTCGGGCCCGGAAGGCCCCCTCCCCCCCCAAATCAAGCGCGAGTTCCTCCTGCGACGTGGCGGCGCCCCCGAGACCTCAGCATGTCTGAAGGGGCCCTGGGACACACAAATAAATGCACACAAATATAATGATTACCCACATGTTCCCAAATTTTTGGGGTGTCTGTCTTCCCCCCCACACTTCCTATATGCTTCCATATTTTCGGGGGAATCGGCGATTGATTGTGTCTGTGTGTTTTTTCCCTCCAGCATGCCCCTGCTCGCGCCGACCTTGGCGACGGCGGGCACAAACTCTCGGACCCCGTGGGCCGCGCGTCGCGCGCCTGGCCCCTTTCGGGGGGCCCCCGGAGGGCCCTCTTCTGCAGACCTCGCTGCCCCCCCACGCATCGCCCCCCCCATTATTGAGCAGGGACCGACAGTCCCGGCATTCTTATAGTCATACCACGAAGCGTTCTCACAACCCCAAAATGTTCTAAGAACAAAAGCAATGTCCTCAGACCGTCCACCCGACGCGTGAAAACAAGACCGCCCCCGCCAGAAAAAGGTTCTGAGAGCAGCTCGTATGGGCACCACAAGAAAAAGGCTCTCTGCACACTCTTTGGCAGGCCTATGTAGGCAAGGCCGGGACGCTGCGCCACTGCTTTTGACATATCACTCGCCGCCCGCCCCGGCGCGCCCTGCCCCGCCGCCGGGGGCCCGCCGACGAGGTCCCGCGCGTGCAGCGGCCGGGGCTGAGCGCGCCGCACCGGCAGGGGCGGAGCCTCTCGGGCGCCCCGGGGGGGGGGGGGCGGGGCGCGCGGGGGGGGGCGGCCGGGGGCGCGGCCGAAGGGCGGCGCCCGGCTGCGGCAGCCGGCTCGGCCTCCGCAGGGGCACGCGGAGGGACGCGGGCGGGCCGCCGCCGAAGTGGAAGGTCGGGCCTGTGCCCCTACAGGGGGGATTTTGGGCGAGACATCAAAAATACCCCCCCCACATGCTCCCACATGGTCACACAAAATCGAAGAATTGTCCCCAGACCCTTTTTGGCATATTTTTGAAGATTCCTCCTATAGAGGGACAGGGCCAACGTAAAGTTAGTGACGCGGCCGGCCCGCGGTGCCCCGCTGCACTGGGCAGGGGCAGGGGCCGAAGGGGCGCCACTCAGCTGGGCCTCGTGTCGCGAGGAGGGAGCAGAGGCTGGTGGTGTGGGGGCGGGATGGTGCGGGCCCTTTCCCTTCCCCCCCCCCCAGAGGAAAAAGAACTATATGCACATACGCCGATTCTGGCCAGGCCCATCCTGAGCCCAGGAGCGGTGCATGCGCCCTCCTGCCTTGGCCAGGGAGGCATATGTGCACCGATCCTGAGGCAAGTGATGGGCGTTGTCTGGATCGGTGCATGTGCACAGTTCTCTTCGCCCGACCCCCCCTGTGCGCGCGCACGCACGACATGGCGGCACCTCTTCGGAGCGCGGAGCCCCTTCTCCGCCCGCTCCGGCGTGTGGGCCACGGCTCCCTTGCCCGAAGGGGAAGGACCTCGTCCTGCTCGTGTTAAGTCGGGCGCGTCCCTCTACAGGCAGATTTTCTACGAAGGACAAAAAATAGTCAAACAGTACCCCAAAGTGGTCAAAGCATACTCAAAAAAGAATCCCCTGACTACTTTTTTGACTATGCTTGAAGATTCCTCCTGTAGAGGGACAGGCCCGACTCAATGCTCGTGTTCCCCCCCCTCCTGCTCAGACATCAGCCAGCCAAAGAGCCATCCACACGTCCACCGAATCTGATCTGGGTAGTGCCGCTCGCCCTGCCGTAGAGCACCCTCTGCTGCATTGGCGGTCGGGCAACAGTCCAGCGCCCCCCCAAAAAGGTCAACATCCTGCTCCTGCTCCTGTCTCGGCTCCTCCTCCTCCTCCTCCTCCTCCTTGCGGTGCATACTTGGAGCAGGGGCACCTCCTCCTCCTCCTCCTCCTCCTCCTTCTCCTCCACCTCCTCGGCCTTCGGGAGGTGGATGAGGTGGAGGATGAGAGAGAGAGAGAGCGAGAGAGGGACGGAAAGGGTGAAGGTCAGGACGACAACAGTGTGGTGGGAGACGGTGATGGAGGGGGGGGCAGAAGAGGACATGGAAGGCGAGGGAAGGAGGGGGAAGAGAGGAGAGGGGAGCGGAGCGAAATGAGGATGAGGGTGGTGATGGGGGGGAGAGTGTTTGAAAGGTTCGTATTTCGCTGCCCCCAAAGGAGTGCTTACACGAGGGAGTCGTGCTCGGCCTGGCGTGTGTGGGTGTTCGCCTGGTGCCCGCACCAAGGGCGCCTTGTGCACGGGCTGACGTTCTCGGGCTTGAGGCTGGGGGAGCCTTGCTTTCGGCGGAGGCTTTTCGGCCTTGGCTTTCGGCCTTGAGGCTGGGGGAGCCTTGCTTTCGGCCTTGAGGCTGGCGGACGTTTTCGGGCTTGAGGCTTGAGGCTTCGGGCTGACGTTTTCGGGCTTGCTGGCCCGTCCATGTGCGCACACAAGCACCAAACAGTTTGCACCACAAGAGGCGGCAAGCCATCGGTTCCATCCGCACGTTGCACCCAACAGATTCTCTCTGGCTTGAAGAATCTGACACCCTACACCCCGTGCCGAGACCTGATTTTACCGTCCCGCGCTTCTCGTTGATATAACAAGCGCGGCTTGTAACGTGCCCCGTGACGTGAAAATATGCGGCGCATGCACTAGCTGGCGCGCCAATGTCGAAGATACGGTTGCCAATGACTAGACTGTTCAACAACAACACCAACAACAACAATCAGCATCCATTGGTTTTCCGAGAAAGCAACAACATATTCCAAAGCACGAACTCATTCATCCCATGAAAGGCATCGTTGCGTTGCCGTTCTGTCAAACTACACAGTTCGGACCCAACGAGCGCGTATGTAGAAATGCGTCAACAATCATCCCAGACCCTCCAACTCTGCCAAGGAATAGCATGCGGCTCACGCGTGCGCCGCTCCCCCCGCGCGCGCGTCGAAACCATGACAAACACATTGGTCTAAGCATGTTGAGGTGATCGAGACCATCAGGAAGCAAGGTGGTTGCCTATCAAATGTGAGGATGTCTGCGAGTGCTTGCGTCTTCATCATCCTTATCAGCACCATCGTCGTCAGCATCGCCACCGTCATCACTGTCAACGTCTTCGTGTTTACCACCATCTCGGTCATCATCGTTGTCATCAACATCATCGTTGTGGCAATTCCGGTGCGGAAGTTTACTCACGTCTTCATTGCGTCTACCAACAAAAAGGGGGTGAGTGGGACGTTTGCTCGAGCATGGGAAGTGGTCGCGCGCGAATGCGCACAGTGAGTTGCACCACGCAAATGAAACCACGTAGCTTGCACCACACGGTATGCAGATTTACACACGGCATCCCTCACAATGCGCCGACTATGGACTCAACACACCCTTTTTGTTTTTTTTCCAATATATATATATATATACACATATGAGGTTGCCGAATCGTTCGTTTTCCATGTGAACCCAAACTATCCCAGAAAAGCCGGTATCGCTCTCCCCTCGCCCGTAAGTGCTGTCAAAAAGCGTCATGCGCGCACCCTCGTTCAGATGTTCCTACAATCAATGATACCAAACTGCCCACAATCCAGTCGCCCGCGCACATGCCGGAATCATACCAAGCGCATTAGTTGTTGCAGGCGTATCAACGAAAGCTTGAAGAAGATCCGGCAATTATTCATCAAAGCAATAGCAAATGTGTTGCCCGCGCGCGTTTGAAATCATATGAAAAGCCTAAATACCAATCTCGTCCCAAACCAGCACATTACATCCATCGTTACTATCATGATCGTTGCAACCGTTGTCCTCGTCACCGTGATATCGCGCCCGGTCGAGTCACCGAACCGCACTGAAGTGCCCGCGCGGCGACGCGGCGTCTGAGACTCGCTGGGGAACTCCCACTGGCAAGCGCCATCGCGGCTGCATGAGCTGTGCCAAACCCGCTGGCAACTTTGCGCGAGGGCTTGCGCGCGCCAGCATGGCCGCGAGCAGCGGGGTTGACAACGCATTCGCAAGCACAGGTTAATTCTCCCTTCAGCAATAAAATCAATTCTGCCACCCTCCCCCCCGGACTATAAGACTCTCGGGGAACCTTTGCTAAACACATATGATCCTGATCCAATGTCCATCTTACCTGTGAATTCATACTCTCCCAGCCAGGCAGGTATCGCCCCCCCCCCCCACCCCACCATGCCCTGCACAAAAAACAGTATGCGCGCACTCGTTTATCAAACGTTACAAGTTTGTTTGTTTCTCAAAATCCCCGTGCAACAACGGGACGAAGTGCACACGCGCGCGTCGTCGCGCGCCCATACCGAAATTCTGCAAAAAACCGTTGGTTTCGGAGGGGGTTCAACATGGAACAAAAAAAGAACAGGGGCTCGCAACACGGATCTTTGTTCAACCTTATTTTCATAAAGTGCTACCAAGCGGGTTTCGCGCGCGCATGTCGAAATCGTTCGAACGCCTTTGCGCGCGTGCTGGGGTGGCACGATCCGTGTGCAATTCTACCATGCGAGCCACTATCGCGCGTCTGCCGCGCGCGCATTTCGAATTCTTTCGAAAATCTTCATCACCGACGCGAAGACGCCGTCATCGTCGCCGACGTGATCAGCATCCGCACCGTCACTGGCTGCCCCGTCGTCGCTGTCAACATCGTCTCCAGCATCGCTACTATCATCACCGTGTCTACGGTCGTCGACGTTGCCATGATACCGCGCCCGCCCAAGACGCCGACTCGGACTGATTTGCCCGCTGGGATGTGCCGAGCGGTCAGCGCCACCGTGTTCGCGTCGGTCGCGCCAAACTAGCTGGCCGCTGCGCGCGCAGAGATGCACCAGGCCCCAGAAGCCCCCAGAAGGCGCCCAGGAGGCCTGCAGAGGGCCCCAAAAGGCAATGTAAAACTCCCGTGAGGACCACAAGGAGCTCTCCGAGGAGGAGCCTCCGAAAAAACAGGAGAGGAGCATGGGTATGAATTCGCAGAAGAGAGCGAGACTGAAGAAGAGGGACAGGACACATAAGGGAAGGATACCATATGACATCCTTATGAGGGCGATGCCGGACAAGGCAACGAGGAAGTATCGCTTTTGTTTATGTTTTACCTTCCTGCCCGTTTGCCGCGACTTCCGCCTGTACGCCGAACTTCAAGGACCAAGGTGCATGGCGCGAAGCGCCAATGCAGTCTTGCACATGTAATTGTATGCGTGTATGAACACATGATTAAAAATAATATATTAATGTGCATGTTTATATATGCATGTGTGTATGCATGTCTGTGTGTATGTGTGTATGGATGTATGTCTGTATGTCTGTATATATGTATGTCTGTATGTCTGTATGTCATGTCTGTATGTCTGTATGTGCGTATGTCTGTATGTCTGCATGTATGTATGTATGTATGTATGTATGCATGCATAGATATTCCTATTCATATATTTAAAAAGGGCCGGGGAGCCCGGAAAATGGGTCCCCCCTAACGAATTTGGCCCACCCCGGGCCTCTCGGGCAACACTCCAGACGACCCGAGAGAACCCCATGTGAGCCCGAAGACGGCCCCAGAGGGTTCCAGGCGTTCCGGAGCGCTCTCGAAATGACCCCAAAGGGCCCCAAGACGGCCCACGACGACCCCAAAGAAGCCGTCGTAATACCCGCAAAGATCGCTCCAAAACGTCCCAAGAGACCTCCAAGAACACTCCCAAGAAGGCCCCAAGAGGCATACATTATTGATTTTCTGTTGGTTTTTGGTGAATTCTGAGGTTCTCCTCATTTCGGCTTCTGGACGCTCCAAGACGGCGGTCTTCCAGGCGTCCGAAGCCGCCTGGGAGGCTCGAAAATCGCCCCACAACCATCCGAGAGGGCTTCCAAGGAGTCCAAGAGAGCCCCAAGACAGCACAACAGGGTTCCAAGATGGCCTAAGAGAGCCCCATGACGGCCCAAGATGGCCCCAAGACACCCTCCGAAGCATTCCACATCGTGACCCGGTCGTTCAGGGAGACCGCGGCTGGAGGCAGGGTGGCCCGAGGAAGCCACTAGAGGCCCCTAAAAGACACCCAGGAGGCTCCCAGAAGGCCTTAAGAAAGCCTGAACAACTGTTGTGAGGTCTCCAGAGGCTCTCCAAGGAGGGGCCTCCGCAAAAAGAGCTCAGGAGGATGGGGAGAATACGCAGCGTATGGCTACAATGGGGAATAAGAAACATGGAAGAAAGATAACGAATCATATTATCATAACGGCGATGTCAAAAAAGGCAACAAGGAGTTATCGCTGAATAGTCGGCTTGCTCTTCCTGTCATTCCACCTGTATACCAAACTTCAAGGGCCAAGGTGTATAGCGCGAAGCGCCAATACAGTCTTGTGCATATGTCCAATTATATGTATCGGAGGTTGGGGGTGATATCGCTGTGGAACGGAGAGCCCCCCACCAGAAAATCGGTGTCAGTGTCGTGTTCGTGTCCGTGTCGCGCGTGCGGGCGAGGCGAAGCTGCGTGGGCGCGCGAGAGGAATGATGCAGCCGTGGCTAGGGGCTGCGGAGCCAGTTGTCCGCCTCCTCCCCCCCTGGCGCGCGGTGGCCTCTGGTTGTCCCGTCGTTGGCGCGTCGGTGTCCCGTCGTGGCGCGGCGGTGCCCCGTCGGTGGCGCGTGGTGCCCGTCGGTGGCGCGGGGTGTCCCGACGGTGGCTCAGGATGTCCCGCTCTGGAGTCTCGATGGTAGCTCGTGGGATCTGTTGTGAGATCGCTAGTGAGATCGATAGTGAGATCGATTGCGTGATCGATAGTCAGATCGAGAGGTCGATAATGAGATCGATCGTAGTATCGATCACAGCAGATCTTTGGCCAGGGGTGCCTCGCCGTGGCTGGGGGGGGCCCGTCGTGGTGTTCCGATGGTGTCTCGTAAGATCTGTTCAGAGATCGATAGTGGGAACAAAAATGTTATCGATTGTGAAATCGATTGTGAAACCGAGAGTGGGATGGAAGCAACTCGATGGGCGGGCCATTATGCATTCTCACCATCAGCGTCATCGTGCACCGTCGCCGTCTCGCGAGCGCAACGCCAGCATCGTCGCCAACAAAGTCATCGCAGTTGTCGTCAGGTCGCTTTCCCTCACCCCCCACCACCCTCATCACCCGAAAGGTGGTCAAGACAGAAGTGGCACCGTCCACAAGTTGCACCAAGGAGATTATGCACCCTGACCACTGGCTGGTGTCCACGCTGGCCAAAACTGCTGAGCTGTGGTGGAACCTTCTGAGGGCTTCTTCGGGGGCGGCCAAGAGGGTGGCGTCCAAGGGGGGGGATGCAAATCATGGCCGGCGGCACATGCGCGGCACCGGGGGGGGGGCCAGGGACGTAATGAAACAAGAAGAGGCGCCATGAAATCTGGAAAAAATATCATGGCCCACGCCATGATGTCCACCCCCCCTGGTCATCAGCCCCCTCTTTGCCGCCCCCGACTCCTCCTCGTCCTCTTCCTCCCCCCGGGGACGACCGAATGTTTGGAATCCCGAAACGGTGCGGTGACGGACCGTGCGGTGACCTCGAGATGCTCCGAGACCTCACCGCGCGGCCCGTCACCGCACGGTCTTGGGACCCCTGGAGGCCCCAGTCGCCCGAGACGTCCGCGGAGAGGGACTCGAGTCCCAAAACCGTGCGGTGACCCCGAGTCCCCACCGACTCACCACACGGTGTGTCAAGGGGCCCTAGGACACACAACTAAATACACACAAATAGTACTACTCCGCAAATTCTCCCACATGTTCTGGCTTTCTTTCTGTCTTCCCCCTCACTTCTCATCCCATAAATTTCCCGAATTCCCTGGAAATCGACGACCGACTGTGTCTCTGTGTGTGGTTTTTCCTCTCCGGAGTGTGGTCGCCACACCGCTTGGGGGGCACCCCAGGCCCCAGCGCGTCGCCCGAGGCGTCCGCGGCGAGGCACTCGAGCCCCCAAACCCGGGCGGGGACCCCGCATTAAAACAGGGCTAGGATCGGGATAAATCGCTCCAGAGCGTTCCGGAGCGCTCTCAGAGCGTTCCCGAACGCTCTGGAGCGGCCGCGGCGCCCGATACATCCTCCAAACCCGCCGATTCTGGGAGATTTCGAGTTATCCCGATCCGATTTTGTCCCGATCTTCGCGTCGTTTTACGAATCCCCACCGACTCCCCACGCGGCGTGGCCACCACACCGCGCCGGGGGGCACCCGAGAGCGGCCCCCTCCTTCCTCGGGTCTGCCGCGGCCCGCGCCAACGACGTCCGCGAGCGGGGCCCCCCGAGCCTCCTGCACCGAGCGCCGCCGGGCCTCTGCCAGGCGCCGCCCGAGGGCGCTGAGCTCCTCCTCCTCCTCCGGGGGGCAGAGGATCCACCCCCGCAGTACATCGCCGCGGCGGAAGTTTCTTGCACTTTGTCTTTCGGGATGGCGCGCTCGTGCGGACAAGTTCGGAGCAGTTGTACTGGAACTAACTACTCCGCGCGCCATCGCATCCCGCTCGATAACTTATATGGTTTGGCGCGGAGTAGTTTCCGATCCCGTTTTGGGGTAACAGAGTTATTAACGTCTCCGGAATTGGAAACTACTCCGCCGAATGATCCCAGCATCATGTCATGCTAGGAATCTTGAGGGAGAGATCTTCATCATAGCAAAGTGAAGAAACTTTTGCCACGGCTGTGTACAGCGGAGGCCAGTCCACACGAACCCTTCCACAAGAAACCCGGGCCTGAGACCCCAGGGCGTCCTCACTGGCTTTTCGGTGCGCGAGGGCGTCGCGGCTTTTTCTATCGCAAAGCCAGCGGAACCCAGGAAGCCGAAGCCCAGGGCGCCCTGGAGGCAAGCAGGGTGCTTCTTGGCACGGGTCTCCGCTGTCACTACCCCGACGCGCGGAGCCGTTTCGTAGGTGCACCCACGGGAGGTATCGAACAAAGCAGGTAAACGCCCAGAGCCGTTTGGTACACGCCAGGTATCGGGACTATTTTTTTGAATATTGTTCGGGTCTTCTTGGGGTATGTTTGGAATATTTTTTATTTCTCGGCGAAAATCCCCCTGTAGGGGGACACGCCCGACATAAGACGAGGGGTGGTGTTGCCTCCATTGGTCCTCCGTGTCCAGCGCCGCGCACAGGTCCTGGGAGGCCTTCTCGAGGTCGCGCACCGCCCGCTCGCGCAGCGCCGCGGGCAGCATGCACCCCACGAACGTGCACTCGACGCGCAGCGGTGCGCCGTCGAAGACGCGGTTCACCCAGAGCTCGCAGAAGGGTGGCAGAAGCCACTCGCGCTCCTGTGCGGGAGCGGCACCAATCCACCTTACCATGTTTGGAATCCCTTCAGTCCAGCGCCAACGCGACAGATGGTGCATCGGTGTTTCGGCCCCGGAGGCCGAAAAACCATGCACCAATACCGTGGCGGGATCGAGGACAGACGACGCCTCATGAGATACCAACGCGGTACAGTGCACACAAGCCGCACGCGGATCCTGGGGATACTGGCTCAGCTCGAACATGGGAAAGGCCTGCGTCACGCCGGAGATGGTGAAGAGCACGTTGCGCTCCCTCGGCGTCTGCTGGCTGCAGTAGTCGTCTGAGATTCTGACGTCGTCCGTGGTGCTGGAGGGGGCCGCCCAGAAGATGCAGTCCCCCGCCTGCTTGCGCCGGAGATCGTCCACCAGCTGCTCGGGGAGTCCGCACAGGCCCCTGGTGACCGTGACTGGCTCCTCGAGGTCCCTGGCCGAGGCTCCAAGAAAACAAAGCCACTTGATCCACTTCTGCAATCCAGCCAGCGCGTCCCTGCCAGCCTCCGTGCTGACGTCCCCGCCCTTGTCGAAACAAACGCGGGCCGCCCAGTTAGCCACGGAAAACATGTGCGGGCACCGGTCCCCTTTGCAGCGGGCGCGGTACTCGTTGTATGCGGCATCCCGCAGCGCGGGCTCCTTCATGCCAGGGGGTAGGGTCGGGCAGTCCAGGAAGCCGAACAGCCTGTCGATGTCTCCGTCCTGCATGGTGCACAGGGCCCAGCAGCATGTCGACAGCAGGTGCCCCTGCAACTGCTCGTTGAGCGGCTTGCGAGCGTACCTCTCCCGCACGCAGCTGCACACCTCTGCGAGCGTCCTTGGCGTCACCGCCTCCGCTTCCACAGGAGCTGCGCCCGTGCTGTCGGCCTGCCTGCCCAGCATGCCCCGCGCGGCCTTCGGCTGCCGCAGGCTGCCGCACAGCTCCTGCAGCAGGGTGAGATCCTCCCCGGGACTGCGGAGAACATAGCGTGGTCGACGCACGAAGCCGGAGAGGGACTCAGAACTGCGAGGCACGGGAACCTTTTCAAGCGCATCAATTGGGCTATGGGCAGTGGCAGTGCTGAAGATATCGATGGTGATGGTATTCCTGCCAAGGGCTGTGTGGTGCTGCTCTGCACTGTGCCGCGCCGCACAGTGACGTGCCAGGGACGCGCCACGGAACGTGCCAGTGGAAGTGCCAGGGGACGTGCCAGGGGGCATGCCGCGAGGAAGTGTGCCGTGCGCTATTGCATTGTGGGTCAAGCCGTCCTTGGCGTCAGAATCCTGACCGATCTGATTTGGACCTTCAGCTCGAGCTGTCTGAACGCATGGCTCGGGCTAATTGCAATCCAAACGCGCGAGGCGCTCGACCAGCTCGAGCTCAAGATCCGAGTCATTTCCACAACCCTCGCTCGAGACACCCTCACAATTTGCTCAGGCATTGAGCCAGACGACCACATGTAGGATATCTCCCTGTGTAGCCTGGACACGTGAAGACGTGATTCCAGCTCTTGGGACAACCTTGTTAGATACCCCCCTGGGCGGCCTGGAGACGTGAAAACACGTGGTTCCAACAACCATGCTAGATAACGCCCTGGGTGGCCTGGACACGTAAGAACAAGTGGTTCCAGCTTGGGGCAACCATGTTAGATCTCCACCTGGGTGGCCTGGACACGTGAAAACACATGGTTCCAGCTCGGGGCCATCATGTCAGATACCCCAATACGGGCATTTGGGGAGAAACACCCGCGGAAGACACTGTGTCAGGCTATTTCGCATCTGTTGCCGATATAGATACCACAGATTGGATTTACCGGTCATGCTGGGGGCGCCAGGACGACCACATGTTAGATACCCTTCTTTGGTTGACCCGCGCGCGTAAAGACACGTGGTTCCGACTCGGGGCAGCCACGATAGCTAGCCCTCTGGGTGGCCTGCACATGTGAAAACACGTGGTTCCAGCTCGGGGCCACCATGTTAGATACCCCAGTGGGTTTTTGGATCAAAAACCAGCGGAAGAAACTATGTCAGGCTATTACGCCTCTGTTGCCGATATAGATACCACATATTAGGTTTACCGATCTGGCTGGGGGCGCCCAAACGACCACAAGTTAGATACCCCCCTTTAGTTGGCCCGCACACGTGACATCACGTGGTTCCAATTCGGGGCAACCATGTTAGAACACGTGAAAACACGTGGCTCCAGCTCGGTGTCACCATGTTAGATTCCCGCCTGGGCGGCCTAGACACACGTACAACCATGTGTTTTTTTTGTTCTAGCGAGGGGCAAGAGGCAACCAACTTCGATACCCCTTGCCTGGGCGGCCTGGACACGTGAACACGTGGTTCCAGCTCGGGACCACCATGTCAGACACCCCCACTGGATGGCATGGGCAAGTGGAAACACGTGGCTCCAGATAAGGACCCACTCTGTTAGATACCCCCCGGGGAAAATCAGGACACTCACCAGCCGAAGAAACTGCGTCAGGCTATTATGCATCTTGTGTCGCGTTATTGGTGTTGTCTGGCTGTTGGCGCTGGGGGCGCCCAGACGACCGCATGTTAGATTCTCCCCTTGGGTGTCCCGCACACGTAGAAACACGTGGTTCCAGCTCGGGACAGCCATGCTAAATAGCCCCCTGGGTGGCCTGGACATGTGAAAACACGTGGTTCCAGCTCGGTGCCACCATGTTCGATTGCCCACTGGGCGGCCTGGACACGTGAAAACACATGGTTTTAGCAGGGGGAACAAGCACCCATCTTAGATATCCCCACCCCCTGGGCCGCCTGGACACTTAAACACACGTGGTTCTAGCTCGGGACCACCATGTTAGATACCCCCTGGGTGGCCTGGGCACGTCAAGACACGTGGTTCAAGCTCGAGACCACCATCTGAGATGCCCCCCTGGGTGGCATGGGCATGTAAAAACAAGTGGCTCCAGCCCGGGACTACCTTTTGAATACCCCCCTGGGTAGCCTGGACATGTGCAACCACGTGGTTCCAACTCGGGGCCACAATGTTCGATCCCTCTCTGGGTGGCCTGCACACGTGAAACCACATGGTCCCAGCTCGGGGCAACCGCGTTAAAAGCCATTTGGGTCGCCTGGACACGTGACAACAAGTGGCTCCAGCTCGGGGCCACCATGTTAGATTGCCGCCTGGGCGGTCTGGACACATGAAAACATGTGATTCCAACTCGGTGCCACCATGGCAAACACCCCTGGACACGTGAAAACACGTGGCTCCAGCTCGGGACCACCATGTTAGATATCTCCATGGGTGGCCTGGTCACGTGAAAACACGTGGTTCCTGCTCGGGACCACCATGTTAGATCTCCACCTGGGTGGGTTGGACACGTGAAAACACGTGGCTCCAGCTCGGGACCGCAATGTTAGATACCCCCCTGGGTGACATGGACACGTGAAAACATTAGGTTCCAGCTAGGGACCACCATGTTAGATATCCAACTGGGTGGCCTCGACATGTGAAACCACGTGGTTCCAGCTCGGGACCACCATGTTAGATATCCCCTTGGGCTGCCTGGACACGTGGCAGCTATGCTGCTTCGAGCGATCCCCACCGAAACGTTAACCATTTGCTCCCGACGGCGCGCGGTCGCCTAATGGGTCGACAACTGCCGCTCGACAACTGCCGCTTCTGGATTTAAAAACGGTTCAACCGTGTTCCGTGTAGTCACGTTCTTTCATGCTCTGCTCGATTATGTCCTATTATGTTCTCGACGGGCCAGCGTGACGTCGTGACGCCTGTGACGTTAGATGCGTCGTCTGTTATTATCTTCCTCTTCACTTATGTGCTCCCCGTCTGCTTCAACACTTCGGTATGTCACCAAATGGTATGCCAACGTATGTTCTAAGTTGCTATGTTCCGGGGGGACAGTTTTCAGTTCGGCTAAACATACTATGTGATTCGCTGGTATGCTGATAGGTTTCTCTGTGCTTTGCTGTCATGGTATAACATGTTATGTGCTGTTGCCCTGCTGTGATATGAGATGTTATATCATGGTGTGTTTTGCTATGCTCGGCTATGTTATGATATGGTGCTGCTATGGTGTGGTATGTTCGGTGATGCGGTGTCAAGACATGAAATTTTATGTCACGATGCTGTTTATGCTCGGCCCTGTTATGTTACGTGATGTGCTGTTGCCTTATGTTCTGTCATGGTCTGCTCCAATAAATTAGGTGGCGTGCTGTTTGTTAACGGGTCTCAGCCCTGCATAGTACAGGATGATCAGCTATGCAAATATTTGTCGCTATGCTATGCTGTCGTAATATGGTGCGATCTGCGATGCGGTGCCATGATAGAATGTGTTATGTCAAATTGTGTCATGTTATGTGGTGTCATGTCGTCTCCTGTTCTGTCATGTTCTTCTCTGGTAAGTTATGTGGTGTTATGTTATGATCCATTGTGTCATGACATTGTTATGTTCTGTTCTGCCATGATCTGTCGTGCTCGTTTTCTGTTCTGTCATGCTATGTTGAATCATGTTGTGTTCTATCGAATTCGTCGTCGCTACGCTCTGCTGTCGAATTGTCATCTGTTATGTGATGCCGTGTCAAGGTATGAGTTGTTATGTCAAGGTGTGTTACGCTATGATCGGTTATGCTATGTCATGCTGTGCTATGCCGCCATATGTTCTGCCATGTCATGCTCTGGTATGCTCAGTGATGCTATGTCATATTCTACTGTGTCATGCTATTGATATGGCCTGTTCCGTAATGTCATGTCATGCTCTGCTCTGCTTCGTTCTGTCATGTTCTATTATGTCATGCTGTGTTCTGTTGTGCTCGTCGAGGGCGCGAGGCGGGACACACCGTACTCTCGGGGATCATCGGCACGATTTGGGGTCTGGCGGCCGTGGTATGCAGGGTGTGGTTGGACGGGCGCGAGGCGGGCTACCCGAGATTCTCAAGGATCATCGGGACAACTTGGGGTCTGGCGACCGCGGAATGCAAGGGGGGTTGGCCAGGGGGCCTGTCCTTGAAATCTGACATGCCCAACCTGTCGGGTGGGGAACAAGTGGCTCAAGCTCGGGACCACCATTGTTAGATACCCATCTGCCCATCTGGGTGGCCTGAACAAGTGAAAACACGTCATTCCAGCTTGGGACCACCGTGTCAAATACCCCCTGGGTGGCCTGGACAAGTGAAAACACGAGTTCCAAATCGGGACCACCATGTTAGAAATCCTCTTGGGTGGTCTGGACATGTGAAAACACATGGTTCCAGCTCGGGACGACCATGCTACTCTGCGTGGCCTGGAACATGAAAACACGTGATTCCGGCCAGGGACCATCATGTTAAATACCCCCTGGGGGGCCTAGACACGTGAAAACACGTTGTTCCAGCTCGGGGCCACCATGCTAGAAATCCCCTTGGGTGGCCTGACATATGAAAACACGTGGTTCCAACTCAGGGCGACCATCTTAGATAACCGGGACAGCTCGTGACAACCGTGTTAGATAGCCCTCTGGGTGGCCTGGACATGTAAAAACGTGATATTCCAGCTCTGGACCATCATGTTAGATAGCCCATTGAAGAAATCTTGCAAATCACCAGCCGAAGAATATGTGCCAAGTTATCACACATCTGGTGTCGATCATTTGATTTTGACTGGCTCTAGTGGGCCCCGCTGGGAGGCCCCAGACGACCATATGTTAGATACCCCCCGATACCCCCCCTCCCGTGGGTGGACCGCACAGGTAACAACACGTAGTTCCAGCTCGGGGCAACCATGTTAGATACTTCTGAGTGGCTTGGACACGTGAAAAACACATGCTTCCAGCTCGGGACCACCTCTGTCTTATCGATCTGAATTGCAAACGCCAGCGTTTCGCTCGGGACTTCCTGAAAAGATCATCCGCTGGCCGGACACCCGATAGATCGAAGAAAGAGTCCGCCGGCCTCCTTCCATAGCGGCACCCGGGACAAGTTTACCAACGAAA